GTTTGCGTTCCGACCGCAGGTATTGTGGTCAATGTAAACATGACTACTTATAAAAAAGGTGTCAGTTTTGTTGCCAGATAAAAGGGTAAAAAGCCAATTATCACGACCCATACTGTTTTTGCCTTCGCTACAGGCTGACCCAAGATAACCCGTACTGTCTGTGTGATCATGCAATCACGCCGCCTCCACCACACACCTTCTTACTCCACTACACAGGTAACGAGCTGAGATTAGGAGCACACTCTTAAAGGGAGTGCTCCTAATCTCAGCTTGTTACCTGTATAAAAGGCACCTGTCTACAGAAGCAATCAATCAATCACATTCCAAACTCTCCACCATGGCCAAGACCAAAGAGCTCTCCAAGGATGTCAGGGACAAGATTGTAGACCTACACAAGGCTGGAATGGGCTACAAGACCATTGCCAAGCAACTTGGTGAGAAGGTGACAACAGTTGGTGTGATTATTCGCAAATGGAAGAAACACAAAAGAACTGTCAATCTCCCTCGGTCTGGGGCTCCATGCAAGATCTCACCTCGTGGAGTTGCAATGATCATGAGAACGGTGAGGAATCAGCCCAGAACTACACGGGAGGATCTTGTCAATGATCTCAAGGCAGCTGGGACCATAGTCACTAGGAAAACAATTGGTAACACACTATGCCGTGAAGGACTGAAATTCCTGCAGCACCCGCAAGGTCCCCCTGCTCAAGAAAGCACATATACATGCCCGTCTGAAGTTTGCCAATGAACTTCTGAATGATTCAGAGGCCAACTGGGTGAAAGTGTTGTGGTCAGATGAGACCAAAATTGAGCTCTTTGGCATCAACTCAACTCGCCGTGTTTGGAGGAGGAGGAGGAATGCTGCTTATGACCTCAAGAACACCATCCCCACCGTCAAACATGGAGGTGGAAACATTATGCTTTGGGGGTGTTTTTCTGCTAAGGGGACAGGACAATTTCACCGCATCAAAGGGACGATGGACGGGGCCATGTATCGTCAAATCTTGGGTGAGAACCTCCTTCCCTCAGCCAGGGCATTGAAAATGGGTCGTGGATGGGTATTCCAGCATGATAATGACCCAAAACACACGACCAAGGCAACAAAGGAGTGGCTCAAGAAGAAGCACATTAAGGTCCTGGAGTAGCCTAGCCAGTCTCCAGACCTTAATCCCATAGAAAATATGTGAAGGGAGCTGAAGGTTCGAGTTGCCAAACGTCAGCCTCGAAACCTTAATGACTTGGAGAAGATCTGCAAAGACGGGTGGGACAAAATCCCTCCTGAGATGTGTGCAAACCTGGTGGCCAACTACAATAAACGTCTGACCTCTGTGTTTGCCAACAAGGGTTTTGCCACCAAGTACTAAGTCATGTTTTGCTGAGGGGTCAAATACTTATTTCCCTCATTAAAATGCAAATCAATTAATAACATTTCGATTTAAAGCTTTCGTGACTGCAATGATTCATCTTCTTTGGTTCTTTCGGTAAAGTCACGTAGAATGAGAATAAAATAATAAATTGATAAAATAAAATAACACAATAATATTCTCACGACGTTTCGGCCACAACACAAGCGGCCTTCATCAGGTGAAGGGGGCGAGACTGTCTGGTAGGACAGCGCTGGAGTGAGAGAGCCACGTTCAGATCACGGCTTTTAAGCTGTGTGAGAGGAACAAAGAGCCTTGACAAAGGAATTAGCATATAATTTAGCATTGAAATGGCTGAATGATTAGCTTGTGACTGGTCACAGAAATAGCTATGTTAAAAGTTAAAGCATACACATCCGCAGAGGCACCCATTGTTAAAAGGAATTAGCATAGAATTTAGCATTGAAATAGCTAAGTTAAGGCATACACATCCGCAGAGGCACCCCTTGACAATGGAATTAGCATAGAATTTAGCATTGAAATAGCTGAGTGATTCGCTTGTAACTGCTACAGAAATAGCTACGTTGAAGTCAGAGCATACACATTCACCGAGGCACTTAGTACAAATCAAACAGGAGAATTTAGCATTGAAATAACTAGGCGAATTTAGCATTGAAATAACTGAGTGATTTGCTAGTGACTGGTCACAGAAATGACTACACATCTGAGCTATTCACAGTACTATATAGTGTACCAATAAAAACTAAAATATAAATTACCTTCATGTTATCAATAAACTCTATATTCTCCAATCAGCTAAGCTACCAACAATAAGTCGTTATATATCACAATGCTATATGGCGAAAAAATGGGTGGATTCTTACCCTCAAATTTCCGCACCACGGATAGCTACGGGCCCCGTTCAGACGGACGAGTTCGTCCATGGTCGGAACAGAAGAGGGGGAGAGAGACAGCTGCGAGGCCCTAGTATACTCCATGTTGTAAACCATACCATTAACCGTGGTGTGAGAGGTATTAAGAGGCAATGCTGGCGAAAGAGCTGCGGTCTGAAGGTCATCGTAAAATACAATTAATTAACAGAAATGATTTAACACATCTTTCCAGTGGTTACTAAGCCTGAATCCATCTTCTCGGTTGAAATTGTCTCTGTGCTTGTATATGTGAATGGCCTCATTCATAAAGCAGACTTGAAACACGGTAGGACGAACTCCTCTGCCGTGGCAGATCATTGTTACAATTCAGTGGGCTCACATGACATTGACTTCTCCAAGACGGAGGTTCTTTGCAAACCAACCGGCTACCATGAGAGATTCGTTCATGAGGCCATTCACATATACAAGCACAGAGACAATTTCAACCGAGAAGATGGATTCAAGCTTAGTAACCACTGGAAAGATGTGTTAAATCATTTCTGTTCTTAATTAATTGTATTTTTACGATGACCTTCAGACCGCAGCTCTTTCGCCAGCATTGCCTCTTAATACCTCTCACACCACGGTTAATGGTATGGTTTACAACATGGAGTATACTAGGGCCTCGCAGCTGTCTCTCTCCCCCTCCTCTGTTCCGACCATGGACGAACTCGTCCGTCTGAACGGGGCCCGTAGCTATCCGTGGTGCGGAAATTTGAGGGTAAGAATCCACCCATTTTTTCGCCATATAGCATTGTGATATATAACGACTTATTGTTGGTAGCTTAGCTGATTGGAGAATATAGAGTTTATTGATAACATGAAGGTAATTTATATTTTAGTTTTTATTGGTTCACTATATAGTACTGTGAATAGCTCAGATGTGTAGTCATTTCTGTGACCAGTCACTAGCAAATCACTCAGTTATTTCAATGCTAAATTCGCCTAGTTATTTCAATGCTAAATTCTCCTGTTTGATTTGTACTAAGTGCCTCGGTGAATGTGTATGCTCTGACTTCAACGTAGCTATTTCTGTAGCAGTTACAAGCGAATCACTCAGCTATTTCAATGCTAAATTCTATGCTAATTCCATTGTCAAGGGGTGCCTCTGCGGATGTGTATGCCTTAACTTAGCTATTTCAATGCTAAATTCTATGCTAATTCCTTTTAACAATGGGTGCCTCTGCGGATGTGTATGCTTTAACTTTTAACATAGCTATTTCTGTGACCAGTCACAAGCTAATCATTCAGCCATTTCAATGCTAAATTATATGCTAATTCCTTTGTCAAGGCTCTTTGTTCCTCTCACACAGCTTAAAAGCCGTGATCTGAACGTGGCTCTCTCACTCCAGCGCTGTCCTACCAGACAGTCTCGCCCCCTTCACCTGATGAAGGCCGCTTGTGTTGTGGCCGAAACGTCGTGAGAATATTATTGTGTTATTTTATTTTATCAATTTATGATTTTATTCTCATTCTACGTGACTTTACCGAAAGAACCAAAGAAGATCAATTAATAACATTTTTGACATGCGTTTTTCTGGATGTTTTTGTTGTTATTCTGTCTCTCACTGTTAAAATAAACCTACCATTAAAATTATAGACTGATCATTTCTTTGTCAGTGGGCAAACGTACAAAATCAGCAGGGGATCAAATACTTTTTTCCCTCACTGTACATCTTCAACTTTGCAGCCCATCTAACCCCATGGGGCTCTGGCAAAAATACAAAGAGGCCATGAGTGAGGACATCCTCGACAAGAGCTCAACGAGAAAATCCAAACCTCGACGTCACCTTTTTTTACATCATCTTTAAGCAGGCCCGCATCCTTGAGGACAAACTGCACTCCATTGGTGGAAAAGACCTCACGTCTATGGAACTACCAACACCCTACAGGGACATCCTGCATGCCCTTGCTCAATAAATTCAACGTGAAATATCCTATGATGGTTTACAGATTCTTAAATTTATTGATAAAAATGAACCAAAACTGATGGGTGCACAAAGAGAAGCCTACACGAATTTTTTGGAAGGCATTGAGACTAAAAATGGAGGCTTTTTTCTACTTGATGCACCTGGCGGTACTGGGAAGAACTTTGTTCTCAACCTGCTCCTCGCTAAGGTTCGCCAGAGGGGGAAAATTGCTCTACCTGTGGTGTGTTTGAGTCCATATGTGTGTGCATGTAGGTCCATGTGTGTGTGGGTCGATGTCTATGTGTGTGTGTCTAAGTCGATGTGTGTGGCTTTTTCGCCCGGGCAACGCTGGGTACTTCCCGCTCGTATTTATATATGACCATTTTGAGTGTTAAGCATTTGCTAATCTGTAAAATCATAACCTGACAGGAAATGTGCATTGCTGAATAGAGAATGGTACAGGTGAAGTAAATTCTTCTCTCGTAGGGGCGGGTGATTAGCAACGTTCCATGTCGATGTGGAGGTTGTTGAGCCATTTGAGGGCTGTAGGAGTGATGTTGCAAATGTCTGAGATATTTCCACTGAAGTAGATTATATCTAAATTTTTAATTAATGGATCTAGCGCTATTTTAGCACATCATCCTAAAAAAACTAATTGTCACCATCTCTATAATTGCTAACTCGGTATCCTGTGATTGTTGTACACCACTGCTAACATGACCCCCTCATATTTTTTTCAACTTTACAGTTGCATTCTCATTGTTGTGGTTTTGTCTGGTTTTCATTTTTAACAGCAACAATGAGTTTCCGTTTGGCTGCTTATCACTGAAAGTTCCACCGGACCTCCTGTCCAGCTTGAGGAATAAGATAACCATCTCTCCCAACAGAGTGTCCTTTGTCAAGGTAAGAACCTGCATAACGAAACCAAGTAGGCTTTCACAGCCATTATTACGATTCATAGTTGATTTTTGGGTTCAACCACATACGTCTAATCAAAGCTGTGTCGTTAAGACTCTACCCCACCCTTACACAGCCAAACAGAGTAATTTTCATGTGTGCAAGTATCTAATGCACACTTTAATTATTGTGAGGATTGTTCATCTTGTCACCGATGAGCTGAAACAATAATTGGGACATTAAACACCTATTCTGATGACAGTTTGTTAGCCAGGTTGTGGTGGCTATGCATGTGGCCTCTAATCCTGCACAGGATTAGAGGCCACATGAGGGTTCGTGTATCGGCACAGATGTTGTGAAACTCCCTTTCTGTGGATGTCAAGAAGGTGCCATACCCTGGCTAGAAGGCAGTACAGTAAGTGGACTAATCGCCATCGCTTTCTATTTGTACGGGGATAGAGTGTTGCCCCTTCACATGCGTGGGGTTTCTCTGGGTGCTCAGGTTTATTTCCATTTGGATAACACTGATCTTTAATTGACTGAAAATATTTTTCAATAAATACCCAATGCAGGACCCTCTTGAAAAAAATAGTCCTATGACTCAGTGTGACTTTCTAGATATTAGTGCAGGGTGCTTCAAAAAATGTTAACAGTTACGTAATGACTTGGACAACACAAACTGTAGAGGGTTTTGATTTAAAGCTTTCGTGACTGCAGTAATTCATATTCTTAGTTTTTTCGGTAAAGTCACGTTGAAGAGAAACAACAAAATAACAAAATATATATAAAACAATAAAAAATTCTCACGACGTTTCGACCATAACTCAAACGGTCATCATCAGGTGTGTCGGTTTGCATAAATTTATTTTGAAAACGGCATATTTATTTATATATATAAAAATAACGTTTGCGTCACGCGCAACGATGGCAGTTTGCCAGGACTAGTCCATCTATTTTTTTTTTAAAAGAGGAGGGGGGAGACGAAATTTGTTTTTATGTATGCTGTCTGAAAGGCACTGTAAGCGTGAACAATCAATCAAGAACTGAAATGATTTATCAAATCTTTCCAATGATTGCTAAGATAGAATCCATCTTCTCGGTTGAAATTGTCTCTGTGTTTGTATATGTGGATAGCCTCATGAACGAATCTCTCATGGAAGCCAGATGGCTTACAAAGAACCTCCGTCTTGGAAAAGTCAATGGCATGTGAGCCTACTGAATTAGAACAATGATCTGCTACGGCCGAGGTGTTGGTCCTACCGTGTTTAAGGTCTGCTTTATGTTCACGAATGCGGTCCGAGATATGGCGTTTGGTTTCTCCAATGTAACTACTACCACAGAGGCAACTTAGTTTGTAGACACCAGGGTATTGTATGTCCGGAATCACATCTTTTACAGACGGAACCAGATCACGGATTTTATGTAATGTGTTGAAACGGACCTGGATCTTGTGTTTATTCAAGATTTTGGAGATCTTTTTTGTGATCCCAGCAATGTAGGGTAAAGTGATGGTTTTGAAAGGCTCCTCAAGAGGGTTCTTCTTCATGGTTTGAGTGATAGCTTTGCGGATTGTATAGATTGTATAGAAAAAACTAAGAATATGTAGAGGGTTTCTTTATTTCTTATTTAGGACGCTTCACGCAGATAACTTTGTCAGGGATGACACGCAGATAACTTGGGCCAGGGATGGCACGCAAGTGGCGACGACGCGAAGACAGCAACGACGACGTGAAGACAGCGACACGAAGACAGCGACGATGCGAAGACAGCGGGTCGGCGTGAAGACAAGTGACCCCGATCCCACGGCAGCCTTGAACCTTGCCTCTTGCCTCCTTTTATTCCCGGCATGACCCTCACTCCGTCCCCGGCCATGCCCCCTTTTCGGAACGCTCTAGCCCGTTGTTGAACTTCCCAGATGGTCCCCCCCTTTTTACAACTCGCCCTCTATTAATGTCCACCCCTGTAATAATTACCCCTCGTGACCACTAAGCCACGCACTGTCCCTGCACCCACACTTTCTCCACACACGAGCTGTCTCTACACCCGCACTGTCTCTACATCACCCCCTCCTTCTCAAAAAAATCAGCCGTCTTGGCTCTTAATAACAATTTACAGCGTGAGAGCAGAAGAACCGCGTAATAATAATAAAAAAATGTACCCGACATACGACGAAGATTAGAGCAGAAGAACTGCATATAACAAAAAAAATAACCCAACGCCTGACGATCGTTAGGGTAAAGGAACTGAATATATATTTTTGGGTTCTATTCGGTAAAGTCACGTAAAAAACAACAACAACAAAAAATTCACGACGTTTCGGCCACAACACAAGTGGCCTTCATCAGGTGAAGGGAGCAGACTGTCTAGAGGACAGCGCTGGAGTGAACACAGCCAGGCTCAGACCGCGACCTTTAAGCTGTGTGAGAGGAAGCAGAGCGCCTTGACAAAGGAATTAGCATAAACAATTGCATTTAATTGGCGGACTTAGCATGATGAACGATGTATAGGGGGGGAGCAAGTGCAGACCGGCGAGGGGGGGAGAGGGGGTGGGTTTACATATTGATGGTGTGAAAAGGGAATTTAAGCATCTGCGAAAGTTTGGGATACCACTACTTGAAAAAATATACTGTACCATTGAAAATCATTCATAATAAAGGTTTTTGGGTTAGATCGCGTTTATTTATAAATGTGTCGTAACCCTCCACCACCCGACACGGCCAATCAGCAAAGATAAGTGTCACGTTGACAAAAGACAAATAATTCACTACTTCACTACTTCTTTTGTCAACGTGACACTTATCTTTGCTGATTGGCCGTGTCGGGTGGTGGAGGGTTACGACACATTTATAAATAAACGCGATCTAACCCAAAAACCTTTATTATGAATAATATTGGTCGCGAAAGCCTACGTGTTAAACATTGAAAATCAGTTTAATGTTTGGTTTGATTCAGAACATCTTTCCAATGGTTGCTTAATTTGAAACCATCCTCTCGGTTGAAATTGTGTCTGTGTTTGTAAATCTGAATTGCCTCGTGAACAAATCTCTGATAAAAACCCGTGGGTTTGCAAAGAACCTTGGTATCAGAGAAAATTATATCGTGATCACCCACAGTGTTGTAACAGTGATCAGCTACGGCAGAAGAATTCGTTCTGCCGTGTTTCAAATCTGATTTGTGCTCGCGAATTCGGTCAGAGACATGTCGTTTCGTCTCCCCAATATAGCAGTCACCACAGGTGCAGATCAATTTGTAAACTCCGGGGTACTGTAAGTCAGGAATGACATCCTTCACGGAAGGGATCAAGTCACGGATTTTGTGTACTGTATTGAACCGTACCAGGATCTTGTGTTTGTTTAGAATTTTGGAGATCTTTTTAGTAACGCCTGCTATATATGGTAGTGTGATGGTTTTGATCAGAGTATCAAGTGGTTGTTTCTGTATGGAGGGAGAAACAGCTTGGCGGATGGTACGGTCAGAGTATCCATTCCTTTTTAGGGCCAGATGTACATGTTTTAATTCACTGGTCAGGTGGTGTTGGTCTGAAATGCAATGAGCCCTGTGGTATAACGTTTTGATGAGATAATTATTTTGCGTCCGGTGGTGGTGGGAATCAGGTTTCAAGTAGGAATCTGTGTGGGTGGGTTTCCTGTAGACAGAATGTCCCAATGAGCCATCAGGTCTCCTCTCAAACAGAACATCCAAGAATGGCAGCTTGCCGTCTTTCTCCACTTCCATGGTTATCCCTTCCATGACTTACAGTACGCTGGAGTTTACAAATTGATCTGCACCTGTGGTGACTGCTATATCGGGGAGACGAAACGACATGTCTCTGACCGAATTCGCGAGCACAAATCAGATTTGAAACACGGCAGAACGAATTCTTCTGCTGTAGCTGATCACTGTTACAACACTGTGGGTGATCACGATATAATTTTCTCTGATTCCAAGGTTCTTTGCAAACCCACGGGTTTTTATCAGAGATTTGTTCACAAGGCAGTTCAGATTTACAAACACAGACACAATTTCAACCGAGAGGATGGTTTCAAATTAAGCAACCATTGGAAAGATGTTCTGAATCAAACCAAACATTAAACTAATTTTCAATGGTACAGTATATTTTTTCAAGTCGTGGTATCCCAAACTTTCGCAGCTGCTTAAATTCCCTTTTCACACCATCAATATGTAAACTCCCCCCTCCCCCCCTCACCGGTCTGCACTTGCTCCCCCCCTACACATCATTCATCATGCTGTCCGCCAATTAAATGCTAATTTTTATGCTAATTCCTTTGTCAAGGCGCTCTGCTTCCTCTCACACAGCTTAAAGGTCGCGGTCTGAGCTTGGCTGTGTTCACTCCAGCGCTGTCCTCTAGACAGTCTACTCCCTTCACCTGATGAAGGCCACTTGTGTTGTGGGCGAAATGTCGTGAATTTTTTGTTGTTGTTTTTTACGTGACTTTACCGAATAGAACCAAAGAGTATGGATCCTTGCAGTCACGAAAGCTTTAAATCTAGAACTGAATATACAAAAAAAAACCGCAATGACCCGGGGAGATCCGCTTCGTGGAATCCTAAACACTTTGACACCGGGCCATCGCTCTGTGCAGATTTTTGTGCCTCTGGGGAATAAGGGCTCGCACAAACGCCTTGAAGGGTTGGGCTCATTTCTGGACTCTTCAGAAAAATTTGACCAGGCTCCAGCTAGCAGTCCATTGCACGTAGCGGCTTATTGTGATTCCCCGGACTTCAGGGACTTGGAAACTGTGGGCGGCACAACACATTTTTCCTGAGGCACAATTTTCTTGGTCGATTGCGCCGGCTCGTCAGACACACCAGACATCGGCCATACAGGGCTTGGGGGTGAGCTGTTTATCGGGGCAGGAACATATGATTACTGGCGTGACAGGTGAACAAACCAACGGCGGTGTCCCGTCTGAATTCTCACACACTGTGGCCGCTTTACTTCTACCATGTCGACGGAACCTTGCCATGGCCGATGTAACTTGGGG